CTATATTTAGTTGTTGAAAAAACTTACAATATTAAATTTTATGTAAATGACCACCATGGTTTGAACCTCACGTTTTGTAAATTAACTTAAGTTAACAAGTCAAAAGATTTGTATAAAAATTATTAACAAAAAAAGGTAATAACAATGATTGAAATAGTCATTTAGGTAACCAAGCGAGCATAGTTCAATAGTAATTGACATATATCTCTCAAGAAGTTGTAAGTTCAATCTTCACCCCTACGTATACTAAAAGAAGAAATAATTTTTTTTTGTGTGTAAATTTTAGGATTACAATATAAAAGTTAACCGTTTAAAACTAAAATAGAATATTTAAAATAAAGACTAAAAAAATAAATATAGATCCAAAATAAAAAATTAAAAAAGAAATCAGGGGCAACAATCAAAATGCATATGTTAATAAAAGGTAAAACATCAAATATTTTAAAATATCATTATTAAAACAATAATAATATGAAAATTTAGAGATTAAAATAAAAATAAGTGTAAGATTAAATTAAGCCCCCTCTCACTTTAATCCATATAAGCTCTTTTTAACCCTTTTTTTAGATATTATTTCATTAACTTATGTTGATACTTGGGAAGAAAGACAACTCGAAAGCCGAAACTCAATATTTAAAATTAAAGAGAAAAATATTTAAAAAAATTTATTGGTTCATTTCGTTTATATTTTGTTCTCTATATTTTTAAAAATGGATCATTTTGATCTTTATTTATAAAATTTTAATACAAAATTTATTCACAATAGAAATATTATTATATAAATTTATGATTACATTTTAAAAATTTTTAATGAATTAAATATCACACTAAATTTTTAGTCAAAATAAATGAGTTAAAAAAATGAATGGAACAAAAATTATAGCTTTTTAAAATACCGTTACCAAAGCGATTAGTAAAAAAAAAAAAAGAAGAAAAAGACGAAGGTAATTTCTATTAAATTAATTATTGGGATCTGTGTGTCCAGTTTGCTAATTCCAAAACTTATTCACGACTTGATTCGAATTATCGTCTTATCCTTTAAGAAATATTCTTTTTTTTTTTCCTGTTCAAATTGAATACATTTGAGACAAAAAATGTGTTATTTTAAATAAATTTTTTTCTGATTGGTCTAGATTTTTCAAAATTTGACTGAGTTGTGGACAAGGGTGTTATGAAATTCTTTATATGTGTTTGTGTAAATAAATTAAATTCCTCTCAAATTAGTTTGAATTCAACTGAACAAATTTAAATTAAGGAATTTTAAAAAATATTTTAATTTCTTTTAGAACATGACTACAAATATTTATTTTCTTTTTCCTTAAAGAAATTCTCAAGTGGGCTCTTAAAAAGGAAAAAAAAAATTATCCAATGATCTTTAGAAACCAATTTGTTGAAGTTTTTTTAGTATTATTTTTCATAAATTAAATATAGTATTGAATTACTACTTTCGATTCAATATGTGAAAATATTTTTCTTCTTTTGAAAAATTATGTGAAAATGTCGTTCTAAAAGAACTAAAATTTTTGCTACTTTTTGCACAATTTTCAAGATAATCAACTTTCAACCCTATGAGTTTGACCCCAAAATATTGCCGATGACCGTTTCGTTTCCAATTTTTTTTTACGATTTCATTAATAATTTTTTCACCTCGTCCTGGAAAAATATATTTTAATTTTTAACTAAATAAAATAAAAATTTTAAAAACGATTTTTTTCTTTAAATTTTGGTCTAATTTTTAAAATGTTAATTAAAACTTTATAACAAAACAGATAAATGAAGTAATATTTAGCTTAATTTTTAATAATAGAAAATTAAAAATAAAATGGTTATCAAATCCATGCGGTTGAGTTAGGTGCATCACCTAACTAATTAAATATCATTTAAATTAGACAAAACTGCAATTTTAATATTTAAATTTAGTTTAAAAAGCCTATAAATCTAACAAAATTTAGTACATAGACATCCTTATTCTCGAGGTTGGAGTGTTTTTTTTTATACTATGAAATTATTCTCATTTGAATAAGGTCGAAAAGTAAGTTTAGAGACCCTTACAATGTCCAAGACATTTTATGAATATATGACACATCGATGATTTACATTATAGTAATTTTTATCATAAAAGAATAATAGATATGCAGTGAAAGATTACACTAATAAATGAAAAAGACAAATACAACTAGATTATATCTTTCTTCAAAAACCCAAGTTCAAATAAAGAGAACAATTCTACTTTTCTTATAAATGGAGTAATAAAAACAAAAACAAAAAAGTATTCAAATTTCAATTATATGATCCCATAAAATTAAAATTAGATTGAAATGAAAAAAGTGCTTTGCCATATTGCTTCTTCCATAAAACCACTGCCAAATGGATGGAAATAGAATTTTTTTTTTTTGAATAATATTTACCTCTCGACCACCGATAAGAATAGAGAGATGTAAAAAGTACAAAGAGAATAGAGAATATGTAGCTATCAAATTTTTAGTGATGATCATGCTCCTTTTTAAGTAAGTATTTTTTAAGGAAGTAGATTCTCAAAATATAAAGGATTAGGTTTTAGGTTTTAGACGTGGACATAAAAAAATTAAAAGATATATAAAAATGTCGAAGCTTCAATTTTAAAAAAATGACAACAAAAATAATATTAAAATACGATGTTTGAATTTCTATAGAAATTATAAAATAAAAAACTCATAATAAATATTTAAAATAAAAATAAACATTTCACTCTTTTTAAATAAATTAAAACTCATTAATATTAATATCATGTTTATATTATATATATTTTTTATATTTTGTCAATTTTGATGTGATACCATAAAAATATCGGTTAATTTCTTGTGTTAACGTCTAATATATGGACATATAGAAATATCAATATGTTGACGATAATTTAATGCCGAAGAGTGTGGAAGTAGGTAAAAAAAAAGGATAGAGAAAGAGAGGGAAGAGAGAGAGAGAGTGTCAATTATTATATGCCACACAAGTTGTTGGAGTTTGTTGCATTTTGCACTCACAAGTCCTTTGATTGTAAACATCATGTGATCTTGACAATGTGAACTTGTTATTAATTTCCAACTAAATTCATTCATTAAAAAAAGTCCCAACTAAATGTTGTCTTTTTCTTTGCTATTTTTTTTTTCTTTTGGTTTTTGAGGAAAATATGCATCATAAAAGGTGAGTTTTTTTAGTAGAACAGATGGAAGATGGAAGTGAGAGATTCAAACTCATGACCTCTGGATCAGAGATAAGTGTTAATTATTGGTGAACTAAAATCATTTTGACAAATATATATAGCCTAAGTCTCTTAAATTCGCACTTTTAAAAAGCTTAAATTTTACTTTAGTCTCTAATATTTGTGTCGTTTTTCACTTTCGTTATTAAACTTTTTTATGGGTCTTTCTTTTTTCCAAACAAAAGGTAGAAATTACGATTTCAGGAGGAGAATCGTTTGAATCAACTTTTAGAAGACTACTTTTTTTAAGGCTAACTATGGAATTTCATTAGCTAGACGGTGTTGCGTGGGCTACAATAGAATCATCCATATTAAGCTATTAAGGAAAGTATTTATGTTGAGATTGCAACCAAGTCTCATACATTGACGGTACAAAAAGATAAATATATATATAAGTGAGTGAACAATATCTTCATTGATATAAAGTCTTTTGGTGAAACCAAGAGCCACGACATGAGGACTTACGTTCAAAGTAGACAATATATAATACTATCGTGCAGAATATGAGATGTTAGTAACATTACATTTTTTTTTATTAACGTACTCAATCTAGTTAGGTTCTAATCGAACCGAACGCCCCTATAAACCAGAAGTATTCAAATCCTAACAAATTTAATAAATTTGCTATCCTCTCCAATCCAAATCACAAATTGATTGAATTTTTTTCAATCTACTAGTTTTTTTTCCCTTCTGATAACTGATATAAAAGTTAGTTTTGCTGAGCTTAGTTCAACGGTAATTGACATTTATCTATTTCTGATTAAGAGATAATGAGTTCGAATTCTTCCTCCCACTTATGGTACTAAGAAAAATAAAAAATAAAAAAATAAAAGTTAGATTTAGTACATTGTATTGAGGTTGATCTAGCATTAGCATGCTTAAAAAACCCTATTTTGCATATTAAATTTCTAAAATAACAACCAATTCCCTTTCCTCTCACTTTTTGTCTCTTTTTCTTTGTGTTATAATTGCAAGCACATCTATGTCCTTTTAAGAATCCCTCTAATTGGGCATCTTTTTCTTTTTTTGAGCCACTAAATTAGCTTATAATGTGAGATCTTCACAATTTTGTCCAACTTTATTTCTCTCTTATAAAAAAAATTTAGAATTAAAATAAAAAACGAGATAGATATACATTCTAGAGGGTGCATTTAGTTTGCAGAAGTAATGACTCTAAATGACGGGTCTCGTTTTCCATTTTCAATCTTTTAGAAATAAAAGTGTTTCTCATTTTTAAGAAACATTTTCAAAGTTGGGTAGAAGTTTTGGAAATAACAAAATTAAGTTTATTGTTTCTCATTCCTATCTCCAAGATATAGATAAAACATTACTTTATTCACTTGTTTCCTAAAAAATGCATAATAAATAACAAAAGTTAAATATAACATAAAACGGTTGAATATTTAATTTGAAAAATTAATTTCATACAAAATTTTTATTTTCTCTAATAAAATTTAAGAGAACAAAAAAACAAGAAATTGTTACAACTGTTTTATTTTTTTTTCAAAAAAAAAAAGAAAGAACAAGAAACAATAGTTACCGAAAGCAATTTTATTTTTATACCAGAGATGAAGGCGCAACATAATACATGATAAACCTACGGAATGATAACGAAAAAAGTGATTGAAATTAAATTAATGGAGAGAAATTAGACCAGAAAACATGATGAAATCGTCTCTCTAAAAGGTCAAGAAATTACAATTCTAGCAATATAAATAATGAAAACTCAACTATATATTGAAAAATTGAATCTATCCCACAATCAAATTCAAACTGATATTATTCTAACAAAAAAAAAGGGAAAAAATTCAAAAAGAAGAAAAGATTCTGATCTGTTGTTGCTGAACTGATATTCCACTCTCTTCTGTGTACAATTTTCTTAAAAAACTCAACCATAGAGCACAGAATTTTCCCAAGAAACAAACACCCAAAGATTGGAGCTTGATCAAGTTTCTGCAAAAGTTAATGTTGGAACTGTTCATTTGGTGTTATACTCTAAAACCCTCTGAGTTTATTATTTTTTTTTCTCATCAAAATCCTTGTGTGTGTTTTTCTATCTATTCCTAATGAGAATAAGAGATAGATGATGTATTGTGTTGTATATTCATTCAAATTCTTGTTAAAAGAGGCTTGTCAATGTCGAACTCACTCTCGGGGCCGTTTCGGGTGCCGTAACTTTCCTTCCGTTTCGCCCATAGCACGAAGTAGAGCCCGGTGAACATCAGGAACATACCGGCAAGGCTGCAAACGATAATAGTCAAATATGAAGATACAACGAAGATGAGGATGATGAAAATTAAGGACTCGTGTGATAGTGTTCATATTTCTCGTTTACTGTTTCGTTCATTAAGGACCCGTGTTTCTTACTGTTTCTTTTTTTTGGTTTACTTTTTTTTAATAAGTAAAAATAGAGTTCCATTTCGTAACTTAAAAAAAAAAGAAACATAAAAGTAACCATTTCTAATTTCTCATTCTTTAAAATTGCAAACTAAAAAGGTAAAAATTTTATGTGAAAGTTAATTTTAAATTTTTAAAAATATTTATTATATATTTTATAAGTAAAAAATGGTAAAATAATGCTTTTATGTATGTTTTGAAAAAAAACTAATATAAAAAACCAGAAACAACAAACATTTCTAAAATTTATATACAATATTGGAAATATTTCTTAAAATATTGATAATACCAAATTTTGTAGACTACTAATGAAATAAAGAAAAAAAAAACCAAATTATCTTTTTTTATATTTTTCAAAAAGTTAAAAAACTATCAAATCTTTATTAGCTTCAATAGATTAATAATCACTTATGTATTATTCTTCTTTAAAATGAGAAACGATAAAACAATTAGAAAATTCTTACAATTCATTTGATTTGAAAACAAAAATCTAAAAAGATTAAATGAAAAACAAAATTGTACAAATTTAGACCTTAAATTCCAATTTAAAAGATTATTCAAAGTGTTTTAGTAATATTGGTAAACTAATAATAACTCTAAGTTAAATATTTAGTTAATTTATTTATTAACATATATAAAATAGTATTTTATCAAAACTTTTGTCATTTTTAACAATAAATCTACCTTTTAAAGTTTCAAACTCAAAATCCAAAAATACTACAAACATAAAAGTATTCTTTTTCGAATTTCTACTAAAAATAAACAGATCTTCACTGAATGGATGAATATGAAAACAAGAAACATAATCCAAATTTTCTACCAAACAAGTTGTTTACGTTTTTTAAAAAATTAGAAAAAACGAAAACGTTACGAAACGTACCTGCCAACGTTGATGGATTCTCCCAAAGTGAAAAGTGAGAGAATGAGTGATGAAACAGTTCCTATGGGACTAAACATTGACACCAAAACCGGGCCTCGTTTCTTCATCGCCCATCCATTGAAGCTCACGCAAGCCCCGCTCACGCTTCCACCCTAGACCCAAAACCCAAAACCATTCATTAATTACTTCATCTTTAAACCCAAATTCAATACCAAAATTAAACTAAACCACGCAATATCTCTTACTATAACACAATATGCAGCCATTTCTTTTACACTCACAAACCATGGCCACACAATCTCCACTGTTTTATACTCAACTATCTGCACCCCTATTGTAAACATCACCCCGATCAAGGACGTTATTGCGCACAAAGACATTGGTGCCGGGAAGTCCCCTAGTGTCGCTGCCTGTCCATGCAAAACGGTCCAACACATGAATTTGATTTATAACTCAAAAGTTCTAACAAAGATTTATAATAGACATAGACTAATCCTCTAATTGGTTTTGAGATGGAATCTCATAAATATCGATAAAAAGTACACTAAGATATTGTAGGGGTCCATCTTCTTACCTTTTTATCTATAGTATGTAGTTTTTTATGACACTATTTATTTAGTAGGTAGATGGGTGAATTTTTGGGGTATTCAAAATAGGAAATGATCTCGAAAATTCACTTGGTGTGTGAATCCATCTCGAAAAACTAGTACGTTAAGGTTTTATGAGTGGAATATGGTAAGAAGATGAGACCCTTGCGATAAAAAGACACTGTTTGCATACCTGCAAGACAACTATGCTGGATAAAACAACTACCGCCGTGAAGAGATACAAGCAACCGAGGATCTTCTGTCTATCCAAAATTTGATCTTGCTCGTCAAATAGCGGTAGAATGGTACTATCTACTTTTGAAGCGCTGTGCATTATGGTCATCGTGAATGCACCTACTACGCAGAGAAGTGTACCTAAAATCTTGATCTTGCTATAGATGCAACTCAACTCTACTTTCTCTAATCTAAAGATCCAAGCAATCACAAAGATGAGTCCCGGGGCGAGATTCGGCATCGCCGTTGCTAACGAAGGCGAAGTGAGCTGTATTCCTTTCAGAAAAAGGGACTGGAACAATGTTACCCTGCAACAAACACAACCACCTCAATCACTTTCTTACCATACTTTCACCTTTTCAAACCCATCTCATTTGCTTACCCTCCAAAGGATATGAGAAGAAGCTGAGAAATCAACTTTAGAGTAAGTTTGTTTGGCCACTTGGACCTGCAAAACCATCAAATTTTCTGTTCCAATCAGATTATTCAGTTAAAAAAAAAAAACGCGAAACATAAACCTTTGATTCCGAATAAGTCCTTAAAAATTAACCAACAAGATGATCATGTAATGTCAAAATACACATTAGGTAAAATGCACTTTTGATTCTTAAGGTGACATAAGTGCTGACTGTACTTATTGATTCGACTTATTTTAATAATATTCTTAGGGTGATATCGGTATTTGGTACTTTCTCTCTCCTCTCTCCTACTCCTTTCTCTTCCTCCTCCACTGCCCCTTTCGGTGGCCACCCCTCCCCATTGCAGAGGAGTCGTCCAGATAAAAAAACGACTCGAAGCAAGAACATCGGTAACCGTAAAACAAAAGAAGTTTTTGTCTGTGAGGGAGAGATAGAGAAGTACCTTTCAAAATAAACAGCAATGGGAGAGACAATGAGGAAAGTGGAGAAGGTAGAGAAGATGACAAGAGTTAAAGGATCAATTCCCATGGACATGAAAAAGCTCATAAGAACAGAGTTTCCTGCATAAACAAACTGCACACCCACCAATCCACCCATTATTGCTAAATCTTCCATTATTATTCCCTTTTTCCTTCACAACACAACAAAAATTCCTCTGTCTTTCTCTATGTCTGCAAAAAAACAACAAAACTTCTCAAAGTTTCCTTTTTTCTCCCATGTTTCCTCATTTTTTGGGTTCCTCTCTCTGTTTTTTTTTCTCCTTTGTTCTGTTTTTGTTTTTGTGTGTTGTGTGTTTGGTTGGTAATTAGTGGTCAATCAGAAAATGTTTGCTTTGGTTGTTTTGTCTTCTCCTCCATTTTCTTTTTTTGGTTGTCCTCTCAAAGGATATCCATTTCTTTCCTTAATTTTAGCAAATATCTCCCAAAAGAGTGGGGGAATGTTGTTGGTCATATATAGCTTCAAAAGGAATTGGGATTTATGTTTCCTTTTTTTAGTGACCACTCATCTTTCTTTTGACTCTTTTTAAGTTTTATGTTTTTCTTTTTCTTTTCTTGTCTTTTCCTTTTCTTTTGAGAGAAAGAAAGAGAGAGAACTCAAGAGCATGATGTGTAAGGTCATGAAGTTTCTTATGGTGTTCTTCTTGATTTGATTAATCACAAATGCCAACTATTTAATTGTTATAATTTCAATTGCTGAGCCTTTCATGGCCAAAATTAGATTTTTTTTTCTTTAACAAATTGGTAAAAACTCTATTTTTGTTTTGATAAAATATTGGTATTAGATATTATATACAATTAAATTTAATCTTATTTGTCACTATTTCTCATAATAAAAAATTGTACTAACTTATTTTATTGAAATGTGATTTTATTATAAAATATTACAATTTTATATTTAATTTATTTAATTATTATTAATTAATATAATAAAATTATTAAAATATAAACATTATTATTAAATATTATAACAATAACATTATATGAATCCATTTTAGTTGATGTAATTTTGTGTTAATAGTTATTATTTGTTAGTATTAAAAATTGTTAAAACAAAAAATATATATATTACTATCACATAAAATAATATGAGCGAACTATTTAGTAAATGTAATTCTAATTAGCTAGAAACAAGAACGGGATATTCTAGCTATTGTTAAATGTTTTATTCTTATTCTGATTCCAAACAATTTGAGTAAACAACGCCAATAAATTTTATTATTCAAATTCAAGATAATTCCAAATAATCATTTTGATTGAATTCCTAAGTAGGGTTAACTCTTGATTCTCAACGGTTTAGAGAGTTTAATTCAAATCCATCCCCACCTATTTTATGCCCTTCCTCCCAAAGCATTACAGAATCTATTATTCTAGGTTTCACCATGTGAAGCAAACTCGGACGAGGAAGAAAGACGAATCAATAGAGAACACCAGTGGCTAGGAATTCAATTTCAATATGAAACTATTGCATTCAAATTTTGTTAACAATATCCCAAAAAACAAAACTATAAGAGGGGGCAAGAGGGCAAAAAGAGTGGAGAAAAATTGTGCAATGGGTAATTAATTTGCAAAATAATGCAAAGAGCCTGCTCTAAAAAGTTCCTAATCCTACAAACAAAAACACCACTCCTTCAAAAATCTGCCACCATTCACAACGCCAGCAATTTTCAGCCATGTCCCACAATCGCCGATCAAGATCCATGGACCAGCCTCCGAGCCGCTTTAGCCGAAGCCTTTCAGGCGAAGCCAAATGGCTACGCTCTGGTTCAACTGGTTCGAGCCTGCACGAGCCAGGCCTGCGATTTCTGCGGCCACCAGCTCCACAGCTACATTTTACGATCTGGGTTTGCCTCTGATGTCTTCGTGGGCACAGCAATGATCAGTTTCTACACAAAAACCGAGTCATTGGATAATGCCCGTAAGGTGTTCGATGAAATGCCTCAACCAAGTTTGGTTTCTTGGAACTCTTTGATTTCTGGGCATGTGCAATGCGGGCAGTTCCGCAAGGCTTTGTCTCTGTTTATTCAGCTTGATGGGTCTGAAAATCTTGTGGACGCTTATTCTTTGTCTGCAGTTTTGGGTGCCTCTGGTCACCTGGGTTGGCTGCCAATGGGACAGTCGATTCACTCAAAAGTTGTAAAACTTGGTGTGGAAGAGAATACCTTTGTTGCTAATTGTTTGATTGACATGTATGGCAAATGCGAGTCTTTTGAAGAGGCAGTTAAAGTATTCAATGGTATGGTTGGTAAGGATACTATTTCATGGAATTCTGTTATTGCAGCCTGTGCTAGAAGTGGGAGGTTAGAAGAGGCGTCGAGATATTTGCGACAGATGCCTCGACCCGATACTATTTCGTACAACGAACTGATAAATGGTTGTGCTCAATTTGGAGAAATTGAAGATGCTGTGGAAATTTTGTCAAAGATGGAAAGCCCCAACTCTTCTTCTTGGAATGCTGTGATAACAGGGTATGTTGATAGAGATGAGGCGTGGAAAGCTTTGAGTTTCTTCTTTAGAATGCACTCATGTGATGTCGGGATGGATCAGTTCACATTTTCAAGCGTTTTAAGTGGCGTTGCAGGGCTATCAACTTTGACGTGGGGTTTGTTGATTCACTGTTGTACAATTAAATGTGGCTTGGATACATCGACTGTCGTTGGTAGTGCCTTGATCGATATGTACTCAAAATGTGGGCAAGTGAACTATGCTGAATTGATATTTCAGCCATTGCCCAAGAAGAACTTGGTATGTTGGAACGCGATGATCTCGGGCTTGGCTCACAATGGCAAGACAGTGGAAGTGGTCCATCTTTTTGAGAAGCTAAAGACAGTGAAGGACGAAGAACCTGATAGCATCACATTTCTTAACGTTCTACTTTCGTGTTCGAATAACCAAGTTCCATTAGAGACCTCAATGCAGTACTTCAGATCAATGATGGAGGATTATGGCATCAAACCAACCATTGAGCACTGTTGTACTATGATCAGACTAATGGGACAGAGAGGGGATGTATATGCAGGTAAGAGGCTGATACACGAAATGGGGTTCAGTTCGAGCGGGTCGGTCTGGAGAGCTCTTCTGGGTGCTTGTGGCACTTGTAGGGATTTAAAACTAGCAAAGGTAGCGGCTGCAAAGGTAATCGAATTGGGGGCTGCTGATGATTATGTACATGTTACGATATCTAACATATTAGCATCTCATGGAAAATGGAGAGATGTGAGAGAAGTTAGAGAGCTGATGAGGAAGAAAGGGGTCAGAAAAGAAACTGGGTATAGCTGGTTGATTGGGATGGAAAACTAAATTTCTTTGCCAAACCATGTATGTCGAATTTGACGAATTGGAAGCTAATTTGGAAACAAGTTTGCAGATTTTGAATGTACTGACTAAGATCATGAATGACAACGTTGAATGTAGCTAACTAATGACTTCTTGCTCACAGGGTTTCAGTGCAATATTTTCCCAACAAACCTTGGTTATAATCTCTAAGTTCATAGTACAAAATAAGGAATGTACATATCCATCAGTATGACACAGATCAAACATTCATAACGCACAACAATGGCAACAATATAATTCTCTGAGTCACTATGAGAACTAGAATCACTATATTCTTATTTCAACCTATTCTGTCATTTGGAAAAATCAAAATTAGTCGAACAAATTCAGCAGTATTGGTCACAGTACTTAAAAGAAATCCACCAATCCATTTGCTGAGATCCCCTTGTCACTGCAATGATCAGCCCAAGGAAGTCACCTTGGGACGGATAAACCAAGCTCTGCAGCCACAAAATAAGAGTGCAAAAATAAGAAAAACAGAAACAAAGAATGGTAAATATCTACTGCAGGAATACTGGAATAGAGTCCAGAATGCAATAAGATTCGTATCATATCTCATTCATTATAACTTATGCCGCAATCTAGTTGTACACTAGCAAAGACCACCATACAATACCGTGAATGATGCAACTGATACATGATCCTTAAGCATGATATGGATTTCGTTACATTAGGTAAACCAAGGCACCAAGAACTAACATCTAGGGAACATTTATGCATCACTCGAAGTGACATTGCTAGATTAGTGAAGCATAGAGTGACAGGCCCACCTTCAAAAAACAGCATATATGTCTCACGTACCATCAATTGCATCTGGGGCAATGAGCAGTTATGTCATATAGATTATTTGACAAAAGAAATTAATGGGTTGAAAGATAAGAACAATCACCAGAGTATTTATGAGCTACAACTTTGAAGGTGCAGCTTATAAACTCTGCTACACACAATTAGATGTAAACAAAAATGATGCAAATGATCGCCAAAAAAAAAAAGCTTCATTCACATAATGGAGTAAACTAAAAGTATTGACTGAACCAAATGATGCCCATAAGGTCAGACTAGATTGTCGTTGAGATAACTTACTACACAATGATGATAACTAGATTGTAGACACAAAACTAACTTCATTTACTTCATTGTTGTTTTGGCAGTAAAACTTTTCAAGCTAAAGGTGGTTCGTAGAAAGCATTACAATTAAGGGATTCGGGAAATGACTTCTGTTAAATAAGAAAGTATGTGAAGACTTCATTTTTAACTGGGCAGATTAGAAGTGGTGCAAAGCCACCGACAGAAATCACTAGTTCCTAACAATAATGACAACCTGAATGAAATTTTTTTCGACATTTAGGACTATTATGAGACAATTAATTTCATACTTGAAATTGATTCACTGCACGATAATAGGAAAGCTCCACAAAGTTGCAATCTATTTCTTTCAAGCATATTGACAATTGATATTATGTGCCTGCAGGAACCAAACACTCCAGTCAGTTTCAAGGTCCCCAGTCAACAACCAAAGCCATTTATTCACTCCTTATTGTTATAGTAACAAGTTTACTCAAGAAATATGCCAATTGAACGGAGGCACAAAAGTTGAAGCCACTAGACACCGAGTGCAAACGGAAGAACCAAAACTACGATGGTTCTTCCTACTGCGGTGGTTAACTTAGACATTCTAGCTTAGCCTTCCATCTTTTAAGTAAGTTGATTAACAACCTCCCAAAAGATAAGTAACAATCCAGTATTCTAAACTTTAAAACTAAAATTGCACCAGAAAGACGTAAAAGAAAACTGAAAAAGATATCAAATGTATGAACACGGAATATGGTTGATACTTCATACACAGTCCACAAGATTTTGCAGAGCGATGCACCAATAACAAGACAACAAGAATTAGCAAATACCAAGACAAGAACACTGACAGACAATCTTAGAGCAAGAAAAGAAAAAGTCAGGTAATGCATAAAAAAGCTACTCACACTTCAAAAGAAAGTACAATATTTCATGTTAGAGGCCGGGAGAGGTGCAGCAGAGAGTACCCTGAGAAAGCGCACGGCAACTCCTCGAATTGGTGCTCAGACACGAAATCATTCTCGCTCCAGCAACCGCGTTGTGAAACGGCAATAGAGACTGCACGCATCCCAGCTCCGACGGAGACCTAGTAGCAGTGCCAAAACATAAAAAACAAGAAACTGAAACAATCGCACGACGAAATTTACACAGAGAAGAAGAAGAAACGAGGAGAAATGGGAGGATAAACGGAGATACCTGGCGAGCGAGAACCGGCGAACTGAAGGTGCAGTGGATTTAGAAGGTAGAGGGAACGGAGAAGATGGAGATTTGACCGGAGACTGTGTACGGACGGCTGCTCTGAAGGAGGATTGAGAGATCCTGCTCGCAATTCTGTGGCAAGCGGAAGCCATGAAAGGAGAAGAGAGGAGATCTGGAAATGCTTCAAGAAACTGCTGAACAACTGAAGGGGGTTAAGGGTTTTAGAAATAAAATAAAATCATTTTAAATTAAACTTAACAAAAAAAAGAAAAGAAAAAAAAAAGAAGAAAAAGGACGGGGACCGTGATGAGCTGGGCTTTTGCCTTGAGTTGGGCTGGCCCATTCTCAATTGGGTTTAGATAGGCCCAAAACCCATTTTATTTTCGTATTTGTAAATTCGGAAATATAGGTATCCAAATTTCAAAAATGACCAAAATTAAGTGTGCTTCTAGCTGGTGATCTGAAAAAAAATATATAAAAATCAGTGATTAAATGAAAAATAATGTTGTATTACTTCTTTTGAAAAATAATGTTCATATTATTTATTTTTAATGTTTTGGGATATATATTTAGTACAAAATTTGAAAATTGAATCTCAATTGAAAATTTTCTTCCTATTATAAATTTTGTAGGATTATTATTTTATAGTGTTATATAATTTATTGGTTTAGTTTTAATAAAGAATATAATAAATTTATAACATGGTCCGTTTGATAACCATTTTTTTTGTCTTTTATTTTTGGTTTTTTATTTTTTATTTTTAAAAAATAAAAACTATAATAAGATAATCTTATTTTAAACTTATTATTATCTTTAAAAAATAATAATAAGATAATCTTATTTTGAACTTTTTACTTCCTTCTTTTTCTTTATTTTACAACTTTTACTTAAGGCTAACAATAATAATATCAAAACTAAAATAAATAAATGTATATGGTAAATCTTGAACACAAGTCTACAATGACATCAATTAAGTGCTTACCCATACACCAACATATAACTTTGTTATTGGGTGCTATTTTGTATTATATAATATTGTAATGGTTTGTATTTTTGTTTTCTAACCACTTCAAAATGTCCACCTAGTTTGTCGTCTCGACCATGTTTTGATTTAAAAGAAAAAAATTAGATGTTGTGCCGACTAATCGACATGTTTGAAAGTCGTCTATTGATCTACTGACTATTCATAGGTCGAAGACCAACTATTTTTCGAGCGGAATATTTTTTGAAATAATTTTTAACATAACAATATTAACAAAAATAAAATCCCACTTCTTCTTACTCATATTAAATACAAAATTCATTTTCAATTCATTCATTATGAAAATATGAATTTATTATATAGATCTAAATTTGAAACTAAATTTATTTATTTATTTTTATCATTGGCTGTGATGTTTTTAATGGGAGAGGGAGGAGTTTGGAATATAATGGAAGAATTCAAATAAAAATATTGAAATGGGAACATAAAAGGAAAAAAAAGTAGTAGCGTTGGTTTAACAAAGTAATAATTAGTGTGAGTTATAGAGGGGACAACACCTGGAAGTGGAACAAACAATAAATAAGGAGATTTTAAAATAAAAATGTAATTATTTAATGTAATGGAATAATTTATAATGGCGCGTGTGCGTGGACGTGGAGGGACGGGAGGAAGCAATTTTCCGTTATTTTTTTAAAAAATTTTGAAATTGCCAAAACAAAACTCAAACTCTGAAAATATCTGAAAAGTACCGTTGTGAACTGTGATCTCTCTTTCTATTTATTCTTCTTCTTGGCCAACACTCCAATTACTTCCTTCCGAAGCCATTTCTGATCAAAGCTTCGAATTGGAGAGTTTTTTTTTTCAGTTTCCGATCCACCACCACCAGGTACGTAGAGCTTCGTGTAATGGCAATTGCAGCATCTTCTGTTCTGTTCTTCAACCTCGCATGCACTGCGAAAATACACAATCTCCTCTTCTGTTCTGTGCTTGTTTGCTTGCGCTTCCATTCATTCTAGTGCTCTATTATTGTAATGTAATGTAATGCTGTGGCTCAACGATTAATCCATCGAGATTCTGTAACTTTCTGTGGACAATCATCAGGGCGATATTGGCCGAAGATTTCGATAACCAGAGTGCAGTCCGGCGGCCACGACCGGTGAAAAAGGTAAATCTCTTCCGATCCATGTTTTCGCTGGAATCATCGTCAAATTACTTTCTCCGTTTTCTAATTGCTTCGATTTCTGATTTCTGCTCGCGCGGCGGCGATTATAAAGCTACTCCAAGTAAGTGTAGAAACGGGAATGTTTCGATCGCATAGTTTCCCTGCATTTTGACTAGTTCTGCTCATTTTTTCAACTTAAATTCGCTTTGAAATCATGCATTAACATCTTGATTATTACTTCGTATGTTTTTAGCAGATATGGTCCCTTAATCCTGTCCTGGATGGGGAAGCAGGCCTGAAATACATGTTGAAAAATGAAAATAATCATTCGGGTGATATCACCGTGTCCGTGCTTCAGAAGCTTTGATGGTTCGCTGAAGGTATATTCGGACGATGTTCAATGTCACTTGTTTCTTCAATTGTTTGTTTGGAAACTTCCCTCCTACTTATTAACGATTTTCTCAGGTTTGGGATTTGCGCCAAATGAAAAAACCTCTCAAGGTGTTTGATATTCTCCCATTAACTATGCCCAAACAAATAGTCCTGATGAGCAACTCTTTCTGACTCGAAAATCGGCCGAGAAAGAGAGCAAAACAGGTGGGAATATCCCAAAGTTGAATCAGGTACAGTTTCTTTTACTTTTTTCTATCTCACATGATGCAAAACACGTAAAATATGCATATTAAAAACCTTGTTATGAAGAAGCATGGAAGAGCGAGCAGGCTATGACTGAACGTATCAATCTATTCTGGACATAAGATGTGGGAGATATAGACGCTTTAATTGGGACTTTTAAGCATACTATATGATGTCAGTTTGATGTTAATAGGGTGTCGTATTATTTATTTTAAAGTCTTCTACCACATATGTAGCAGAGTTAGATTTTGTCCGTCCAAGAAGCATGTATAAGAGAAATGACACGAGCCGGACATGGAACAAAACAAAAAACTCCTTCCATATATATGTCAAAGTTAGATTTTGGCAAATACCTTCTTCATTTAGAATCTGCCTGTAAGGTATGTTTCTGTGCTGCACTTTTCTAAGTCGAGCAATATATCTAATCTATGGATAAGGTGTCCATTTGTTTGCTTCTTTTATCTAATTTAATTGAACTTTGTAAAACTACATTCAATTGAAAGCATTGGCTGAAGAAATGCAAGCAGGGAGTATATAGGTCCTGATAAACTGGAGCAAGAGCTAACTGCTTCAAAAACGTCCATATTAGTTTCAACCTATCAGAGTTGCTGAAAGCCAGCTCTCCTTCTCACAGGTCATCCTCCCTTGAGACAGGTAAGCTCAATGACATGGAGCATCATATTGTATACAATGCATTTTCTGTAAGTTCCATTTTAATTTGTTGAGTAATTCACATCCTTGAAAGAATTTGATTTATAAGTATAATTTATTTCCTCTTTGAGACTAGACTACATATCAAAGTTTTCGACTCCCTTTGCACTTGACCTCGTATTTTTTAACTGAATTCCCATTGACATAGATCATCATATTGTATACAATCTGTATTCTTCTAAACAAGCTCTAGTATATGAGAGGCTGTTCTTTTCAGGGTCTAACACTCTGCACTATTCAGATACGTTGTGACTTGTGATTGACCTCTCAGATGGCCTTTTCATGTTCATACAAAGGCATATTTGGATTGTGCTATCCTTAGAGATGTAAGTGTCGTCTTTTTCTCAAAACATAACTTGATCATTTTGTTTATTTGGTATTCATATTGGTAAGAGAATTCAAGCTGACTATATAGTTTTCATTTACTAGTTAACTGCCTTCCGTGTAACACCAGGACTGTTGGGAATTTATAGCAACCTAACGAATGCAATTTAGTGAATAATTGCTAAATTTATTTCAGGAAATGGAAATTTCGGCTGATGTGCTCGCCACAGGTTTGCTTTTGAGGTTGCTGACCCAGATCTTTATCTGATAAATTTTTCCTTCGCCAGGTTAGTATAAATGTTCTCAGTTCAGCATATTGGTGTGGATTGGAATAATTTGCTGGTAAACTCAAGTTTAATGATCTGTATTTTTTTGTGCCTATGAGCGTTGGATGAATGAACCTGATGTTTCAAATGATTCTGTGCTGAAACACAAACCTTTTGGGCTACAATCATGGATACAGATATTTGTTCATTTCTGCCCCTAGTTTTCTATTATTACTTTTATTATTTTTGTTATTATTATAATTTCTAACTTTAATATTATTTTCAATCTTTTTCTTTAATTTAACACCAACAAATTTTTTTATTCACTTTCTAAATTTAGAATTTTTCACTTTTAAAATGGTCTCTCTCAATTTTTTTTTCTATTTCTAAAATTTTCACACATTTTAAGGTTTTTCCTTTTTATTTTTTTTTTCAATTTTCAACTTTCTTTATCTCACTTTTTCAAAATTCCCCATCTCTCATTTATTTTCTTACTTTTTAACATATTTTTTCCTATCTCTATATTTTTCTCTCCTTTTCTATACGCAATATTTTAATCTCTTACCAAACTTTTCTCTAAAATTGGTCTGTAAACCTTTTTAACTGCTTTTTTCTCTCTAAAATATCTTTTATCTATAAARTTTTTGACCATCTTATTTATAACTTTTTATCTCAAAATTTTCTCTCTCTCTCTCTTTTTTTTTTACTTTTTTTTTTCCAATCTAAGTTTTTTTCCTCTATCTATTTATGAATTTTTTCTCTCTTAAATTTTTTTCTAACATTCTTCCTCTCTTTGAAAAATCTTCTCACCTTTTTAACTTTCTTTTTTTTTTTTTGAAAAAACCTTTTTAACTTTCTTGTATTATAGATTTTATCTCTAAAAATGTCATTTTCTTACCTCGTACTTGTCAGGAGAGTTAATTTTCTTACCTTAAACTTATTTCATCAAATTAAGACTAAAACTTGAGAAATTATATAACATCAACAAAAAAATGAAAAAAATAAGAAGAAAAAGAAAACACTCAAAATCAAACAACAAAAACGTCCAAACCCAACATTGAAAACACTAGAACATAGCAACAAAATCAAGTAGGTGAAAAACATCACTTTTTCAAGTATTAAGTTATTTGATGAAATTAAAGGTTTAAGTTTAAATTTCACTGAGTCACCCAGTCAACTACAGGGGTAAAAAGAAAAAGTATTTTTTTTTTTTAAGTATTTCTATTATTTTCTCACTTTTTAATTATTTATTGTCTAGTTTTTTTCCTTTTCATTTAGAACAATGCTCTCTCATTTTTTAACTTTTTGTATGTAAACCTTTTTTTCTCTCTAACTTTTTTCTCTTCAACTTCTTTTTTGGGGGGACATCATTTTCTTACCTCTTACTTGATGGGTGAATTGTTTTTTTCCTTAAACTTATTTCATCAAATTAAGACTTAAACTTGAAAAACTATTTAACTTGGACCAGAAAAAAAAAACACCCAAAATCAAACTACAAAAATGTCAAAACCCAACATTGAAAATACTATAACTTAGCAACAAAATCACGGAGGTAAAAAACACTACTTTTTCAGGTTTTAAGTTTTTGATGAAATTAAAGGTTTAAGTTTAAATTAAATTGACTCTTTCAGTCGAATACAAGGGTAAAACAATTATTATTTTCCAACCTCTTTCTATTTCTAGATTTTTCCACTTAACTTTATTTTCTATCTTTCACTTTTCAAACTTAGTTTCTCTCCCTTAAATAATCTTTACTTCTAATTTTTTTGTTAATTCTAAAATTTTTGTCCCCTTTTATCTAACTCTTTTTTCTTTTTAAATTCTTTCATTTTTTACTTTTTCTCTAAAATTCCCTTTTTCATAGTTTTTACCTATTCCTTATTTCTCTTGAAATTTTTGTTTCTTTTCCCTCTAAAACTTCCCCCTTGACCTTTTTCTTTCTAATTTTTTTCTTTTTCTTTTTTGTTTTTTCTTATCTCTAAAATTTTCATCATTTAAAAGTTTTTTGGGTCTAAATTTCTCACTTTTTACTTATTTTCTACTTTCTAACTTTTTCCTCTATCTAAAAATTTCTCACTTATTAATTTTTCTCTTTCGAACATTTGAAATTTTGTTCCTCTCTAATTTTTTTTTTAATTCTAATTCTTTTGAGTTATTGGAACGTCTCGCTACACTTGATTCGAGCGATAATTTTGTAGTTAAACTGGTATGTTAATTCTTTCTTGTAGTATCGTTTGAAACCACATTGTTGAAGTAATAATGTAATTTCAAAGCTTTTCTTCAACTGAATTGTTTGTGATGTATTGATACTGGCAGCCGTACTTTTGCGACATTACCTTTCATTTAAGAGATTTTGATCTTCCTTTATGTTGGTATGAATTCATTAAGTTGCTGAAACGAGGTAAAATTTAAATGTTGGGTCTGAGTTTTTATGTTTTCGTGTCTATATTTGAAGGACGGCTCATGAGAGGTGCTATGCAGTTGGCATTTGCTTTATAATCAGGTCAGTTAGGAACATTAACGATCACAACCTGGCTGCAGATTTTATATCAACGAATGAAATAGTACAGGCAGTTGTTTACTTTTACAAAGGTTTGGCAAAGTTCTCACGATAGATTTGTTTTAAGCCAGCCGGATTTCAGATTTGATTTCATCTCTCTCTTTGTAAGTTTTTCTTTCATCAATGAAATTCTAGTTACCTATTAAAATGATGATATACTTTACTAATGGGACTGATAATTCGCTTTTATTTTTATTTTATTGTTATTGAAACAATAAATAAACATTTACAATTTAATAGTTACCATTAAACTATAGAGTTGGACTAAATAAAACATGAGGCTAAACCTTAAAGAACCTTGAATACCTTATAAAAGCCCCCTGATTTAAGTTAATAACGAAGCTATGTTGGTACCACTACAGGCAGGACAGGATGAATTGATAGCTCTCGAGAAGGCACTAAAGGATAGAATACCATGATTCCTGCTGGAACTGCAAGAGAGGTGGAACTTAAGCTTTGGTATTTTTTTTTCCCTTTTCCATAATGTTTGGGGGCAGTTTGTGAACATTTTTTTTACTTTTATTTAATTATAAAAGTTGTATGCCTCTCAAGACTGATTTTGGAAGGGAGGTACCTTGTTTGAGTTAGAAGGAACAACAGTTGAAGAACTTATATTCCTATATATTTGACACAGATAATCGGGGGTACTCTGCTGCTGAGATGGATAGACTTATCCCAATTGCCATATTTATGGTCAAATTTGATAATGAGGTTTTTCTTACTACTATCATCCTTTGTTGATTTAGTTTTATTTATTTTCTTCCCACCATCTCTTACTTTTTCACTCTACTTCCTAGAAATAAGGAAGTCGATCTTTGGGAAATTTTGTCCAGCTAAATGAGGAAGATTACTTATCAATTACATTATTGATATGATGGAGGAGGTGGAGCAACTCAAGTTTGGCTGGGCTCTGGCAGGTATTGTTTTGAAAGTGTCCTGATTTTAAGAACTTTGGCTTGTTCTTAGAAACATTTGGGAAGCCTTGCTACATTCTGTGTGCTATATTCTTTCTGTTCACTTTGTCGGCATTGCACCATAGGTTATGAATTGAGCACTTTCTGTTTTGTTATTTTCCCAAACAAGGCAGACTCTATTGATTTATAAACTTGAGTCTTTGATTTCATATTATTCAATTCATTAACGTATTATTATCCGAATTTAGGTTCTTTAAATGGTTGAGATTTGGTTATTGGCTTACTCGTCAATGGCATGTAGGATCATAACCCCTTGAGATAGCTTAAAATGTTTTAGGAGTTGTGGAATAATTTTTTACTTCTTTATTACATATTTCATGAATTCAATTAGGCATACACCATCAGATTCCTACTTTCTCTTCCTCTTTGATTTTTCCTTTTGCCATTTCTCTCTGTTTTTTTTGCTCTTGCTCTGCTTCAAATCTATCATAATTTCTAGCCTTACCCTGCCCCGCAACAAAGAGTTTGCGGTTTCAGGTCGATACTAAATTTTTCTCTCCTGCTTTGATTTAGCAATCAAATAGTTTTGTAAGGAAAGTGGATATTGCTCTGTTTTGTTCTGTTCTGTTCTGTGCTGCAGCTTCGTTCAAAAAGATGGTGCTTTACCTTTTTCAAGATTAACAAAGAGTTTTTTTTTCTAATAAATAATAATAATAAATTAATTGGAAAAATTCTGTGTGCTTTTTCGCATGGTTCTCTCGAGGTCTGTGAAAACTTTTAAAATATTGATTCTCTTCACAACCAACAATTAATTTTTTTTTTCTGGCTTGCTTTCTTTCTTTCTTAGTTTCTTGTATATCACTGGATTTATTATTTTCTGTTACTACCCATAAACTAATATTCATTTATAAATAATTGCAGTTTTTCATATATTTGAAATGCCCATCTGTATTTTTGTACAAAAGCTCTTTAGTCTAGCTACAATATTTTTTGTACCACTACAGGCAGGTCAGGCTGAATTGATAGCTCTTGAGAAGGCACTGAAGGGATGCAATTCTGTTTATATGCAATTAGGGCATATTTGGATGGCACTATCCTAAGAGAAGTAAGTGCTTTCTTTTTCTCAAAACAGAACTTGATCACATTTTGTGGTTTTCTGGTATTCATATTGGTCAGAGAATTCCAGTTGACCGTGTGGTTTTCATGGACTAGTTAAATGCCTTCCATGTACCCTTTTTATTTTTAATTTTTTGTGGTTTTCAAAATTTTATCTCTCATCATATCCTTTTTTATTAAATATGGATCAATTTGAGTATAGTGTAGGTGCTAGTTATCCTTTCTAAAGCAATGAATATGCATACATGTTAATGATTTCCATCTCATTCTTTCATTAAATATCTAGGAATCCAACTTCTAAGGACGACTAGAACGTGGTAGATTATGTTGCCACAAAGATATATTTCCTTCAATCATCCAGATCAAGGGGTTTTTCACAATTCAGTGGCCAAAACCTGGTTTTGATCCTCATTTGCAGACCTTGGTAAGCTCTCAAACTTCTAATTGATTTTGCATGCATGGAAGTTTTACATAATTTATGTTTTAGAACCACTATGTTTGTGCATGGAATACCAGTAGCTCTCTTCCACCCTTCCCATTCTCTTTACCTCCATGCCCACGTCTGTAACAACCCGTATTTTCTAATACGGTCATTCTGACCAAAGGCGGAAACGTAACTTTCAAGAAACCTTAAGAACTAAAATTATTCAGCGGAAGCAATTTCTTTACAGAATTTTTATAAACTAACTTAACTAAATAGGAGGATGACTTTCAAACTCATGCCAATATGCTAAACTTCACCTTCTACCAGAACGATCATTCAATCCTTCATCTGAAAAACATTTAGGAAAACAAAAAATGAGTACAAAAATACTCAATAAGCAATTTCCATATCGAATTTCAAAATTCATTTTCCTTTCAAAACATTCGTAAACAAAAATACGAACAGATCAAAACTTTTAAAGTCCTTTAAAATATTTAATACAATTTTCAAAACTTTCAAAACAAACTAAATTTTCAGAAACAAAGTCTTCAAATAAGGTGAAATTTTCAGTCAATCAAAACAAACTTTCATTCATTCAAAATAAACTTTCATTTGATCAAACTCAAAATCCTTCAAAACAAACTTTCTTCCAATCAAAACTTTCAAAGTTCCTTCTAAAACATTTGGTACAACTTTCAAACTTTCGAATAACTAAATCATTCAAACATTCAAAACAATCTTACATTCATTCATACTTTCAAAATCAGAGTGGAAGGTTGCATTATTTGGGTAGCCTACAGAACATATGTGGTTACCCGTCGGTAACGCCAAATCAATCAGAAGCTTCTATCAGAGTTGTCGAATTAATATCGACCAGAACAAAATTGTCGAAACAATATCGACCAGAACAGAGTTGTCGAAATAATATCGACCAGAACAGAGTTACTTAAGTGTGAGGCCATGTGAGTGAATAACACACACATGAATCTTCATTCCCAAGGAATGCCAAACCACAAAAGTGTCTTCCCACAAATAAGCCAGAACAGAAATCCATCAATTCTAAATTAGGCTACTACCCCAAATAAGCAAAACATTCATCAAAACAAAAATCATGGCAGCCTATGAAATCAGTCAAAATATCTTTCAAATAAAATGCAAAACAAATACTCTTTCAAATAAAATGCAAAACAAATACTTACTTTCAATATTAAATTAATTCAAAACATTGAAATAATTTAAAACAAACTTTATCAATCCTCCAAAACGTGATTTCAAATATTTCACAAATAAACAAAATATCAATTTCAAACCTTTAAATATATCTAAACAAAACTTTATCAAATCATTTAACAATACTTCAAATACTTTGCAAATAAACATAATTTCAATTGCCAAATTAGTTTTCAAATCCATAATAAAACTTCAATTTCATATGCAAGATATCAATTTCAAATCTTCCTATCAAATCCAAAATACATTTTAGTTTTTGAAATACGACAAATCACTTACAACACTTTTCGAAGGGATATGGTAAATTACTTACAATACTTTTTCGAAGGGATATGACAAATTACTTACAATACTTTTCGAAGGGATATGGTAAATTACTTACAAATACTTTTTCGAAGGGATATGACAAATTACTTACAACACTTTTCGAAGGGATATGATAAATTACTTACCTCTTTCAGAAATCCTACGAATCTAATTAACTTCTTCCTTTGTAGTTGTCAACTTAGAGGCCTAGAAACAACCAACATCCAAAATCAATTCTTAAATCCTGACCAAGGATTTAAAATTCAACCAATTACTAACCCAAATCTTATCTACTCAATTTTCCAATTCAAAACACTTTTTTTATGCAAAATAATTAGGAAAGTATGGATTTGGGGCTACAAACCCAGATCTGAAAACTAGGTTAAAAAGCCTCTAAATTCAACAATAACAAATTTTAAAATTAGAATAATCGATATAAATCAATACGAACTAAATTTACAAAAAGTTTCTCAATAAAACCAGCTTAAAAACCTTCTAAACAATTGAAAATTTGGGGATTTTAAATCTGAAAAATTTTATGTTTTATAAAATAAAACTTCCAAGAATTTTCCATAAAACAATTAACAATTTATTGATTTTTATAGAAAAATCAGATCTGAAAGCTTTATAGAAAACCTTTAAAATTTGGTCAAAACATATAATTTTTCATGTAAAAATCATAACAACAAACTATAATTTATAGGATACAAATAGGTAAACTTTTTATGTAAAAAGAGCCTCAAAATAGCCCAAAAACAGTCTTATAAACAAAAAGATTCAAACTAAAAATTCTGAAAAAATTTAGGATAAAAAGTCCTTAAAATCTTTTATTCTAAAAACAAAGACCTCAAAACTTTTCCCAATAAACTGAATTAAAGAACTACAAATCAAGAAAAATAAAACTAAAACAATGAGAAGAAAATCTTACCGATCTTTGAGAGAAAATACCAAACTCTTCTTCTTTTCTTTTCTATTTTCTCTTTGAGAGAAAACTAGGTCTAACAGTTTAAGAAAATAAAACCTAGCGTTTAAGGGCTTTTATAACAAATCCTAATGAATCCTTATTTAAAAAGGATAATAAAAAGATAAAGATTTAATAAAACTCTTTCTTTTTATTTTTTTTCAAATTCTAAGAACAAATTATCTTTCAAAAATAATTTCTAAAAAATAATTTCTAAACCAAAAAGGTTTATCTTTGAGAAAATAAAAGAAAACAACTAAAAAATAATAATAATTTAAATATATATATTTATATATATTTTTTCGGTTGTTACAACGTCTTTCTTTCCTTATCCTTCTCCCTCTCTTTCGGCCTCTCTCCCTCCTTTCTCCCTTCTCTCTCCTTCCATTCCTATAATCAGAGTATTGTGTTTTGATGGTTATAAGGATTTGTTTGAGTTAGAATTGTGTCTTAGTTGGGTGTGATTATTAAAGACTTGTGTATTTTTTTTTTTTTTTGCATGCATGTTCATTTTACATAATTTATGTTTTAGAATCATTATATTTGTGCATGGAATACTGGTAGCTCTCTTCCACCTTCCCTATCTCCTCTCTATCTTCGTTCCTCCCTTTCTCTTTATCTCTTGCCCCCGTCTTTGTTTCCTTATCCTTCTCCAGCCTTTCTCGATCCCTCTTTCTCCCTACTCTCTCCTTCTTTCTCCTTCCATTCCTATGATCCGAGTATAATCGGAGCATTGTGTTTCAATGTTATTTGGTTATAAGGATTTGTTTTGGTTAGAATTGCGTCGTTTAGTTGGTTGTGATTATTATTCAAGGCTTCTATTTTTTCTGTTTTAGATGAGAATTATATGAATATTTTTCTCCATTTATAATTCTAATACCTATCTCCTCTCTCTATTTGTGGTTGGTCTGTTCATTGCTTGTTAGTGGGTGGTAAAGGTATCTTGCCGAAGGCTCTTTCAATAGCAGCGTTATTCTCTTTTTGGTAAAGGTGTATTGTCGCTTCTTTTTCTTTGTTTCTTCTTAATAGTTGATTGTTTTTGTTATTCATCATCAGTTGCAATGGGAAAGTTTCAAAACTTTTATGCATGCACTTAGTCATCGTGTTGTCTCTCTTCTCCTCCTTCATTTCCTCTCTACTCTACCCCCGTTTCTCCCTGCTTTTCCCTCCTTCCCCTGTTTCCTCTCTTTCCATCTCCCTTCCTCTCTCCTCTCTCCTCCTTCGTGCTCCATCTCTCTCTTTCCACCTCTCTTCTTCCTTTCCAGCTCTCTCCCTCCCTATTACTAATTGTATTTATTGGATTAGATAGATTTAGTAGTTGTTAGGTTCTTTGATTAGGTGTTTACAGTTTGCTTACAAATAAGGCCTATTTCTTTAGTTTTGAATGAGAAATAAACAAATATTTTGCTCCATTTAATGTTCTAGTATATATCCACTGATGTTGACTATAACTACGATTTTCATTTACTGAGTAGTTGGCCTTTATATAGTCAACAACTAGGATCTTTTAGCTTTGTTCCTGACTTTTGGATGTTTATTTTTTTTGTTGGCAAATATGTTCCTCCCTTGCATTTCCCCTCCTTCGTTTCCTCTCTCCTCTATCTCCTTCCCTCCTTTCCATTCTTCTCCATTCTTCTATCGATCATTTCTTCTCTCCTCTGTCTCCCTCCCTCCCAATTCCAATACCAATACCAATTATTGGAGTGGAGTATTGTGTTTCAATGTTTTTTAATTGAACATTT